CGAGGCCGAGCTGCCCACCACGCAGGGGACCGGAAGGACCCCTGGCCTCAGGGACCCTCGCCAGGGGGACTGGGCACTGATGTCAGGCTGCTGAGTGCCTTGGCCCCACCCCCTCTTCAGTGACAACACCTCTGGTGCATCTTGGGCTGTGCAGACAGCACCTTGATGCCCCTGGCATCTAGGCATCCTCTGTGCCACTTGTGACCACAGCTTGGCTGTGCTGTCCCTCATCACCTGGTGAAACTGAGAACTGGGCAGGAGACTGAGTAGGATTTGAATTTTAGTTTTGCTGCTTGAGAGCTGGATGACATTAATTCATTCACCAAGCAGTTACAGAACCTAGTCTGTGCCAGGCTGTCACTTCCTGGAGGAAGTGTGGATGACGGTTTCCAAGGGTTACTCTGCTAACGCTCAGCTCGGCTAAGTACCTTGCAAACAAAGCCTTAGTCAGCCCTATCCACACTCGCGTTGCACAGAAGACCACTGGGGACACTGATTAGACTTGATGTCTTTGGACTTACCAGCAACTGTGTATTCCTTCTGCCATATCACTTCCCTGCAAAGGACAGTGCCCACTGGTAAGAAGTGGTGAGCCAACATCTGGGCCAGGACGCAGTGACGGAGAACCTATGGCCTGTGCACCATGATGGGCTGTGTGGATTACTCAAAGCTCTAAGAGTTCACCATCACTGGGTTTCTCCCGGTACACAAAGCACCATACACAGACCAGAGCATGGGCAGCATCTATAGAAACAGCTTCATTAGTCAGCTTTGTGCCACTATGACAAAACATCCGACACAAGCTACTTATAAGTAAAGAGAAGTTTATGTTGGCTCATGGTTCTGGAGGCTCTAGTTCAAGACTGAGCAGCACCATGAGTTTGGACCTCTGGTGGGTGGAGCATATCATGGTGGAAAGTGAGAACTGAGTTCTCACATCTCAAGCAGAATACAGAAAAAGAGGAAGAGACCTGGGTCCCCTAATCCTTCAGAGGGAACAATCTCCAAGGACCTGAGCACTTCCCAGGAGGCCCTCTCTTAAAGAGCCCCAGCACCTTCCAGTACAGTCACTCCGGGAATCAAGCCTTTACACTGGGACTTTGAGGCCACTACCCATGTTCAACCCAAAGCACAAGCTTTTCACCTTCCCATTCATGCTGGGAGTTCCTGAAGGCACCTTCTGAGTCCTGAGCCCACAGTAATGCTTGGTCCCTAACAGGTGCCCAATAAAGGCTGTTCCACGGCTGAAGATCACTGTGGGAGGTTGGAAGGTGCCCCACGCCCACGGAAGCTCTCAGACGCTATCCTCGTAACCCGTAAATATGACTGTATTTGGAAAGACAGGTCTTTGTGGAGGTGACTCAGGGTCTTATACCGAATCAGCTGCAAATGCCATCACAAGTGCCCTTTTACAAGGGGAACATGGTGCTTCTGCAGGCAGAACAGAAAGCGAAATGAAGGTGAGGCAGAGACTGGACTGGCGCAGCCACTGCCCCAAACCAGGGAAGGCCAGCCCGCTCCAGGAGGTAGAAGAGGGAAGGACAAACTCTCCCCCACTCTTCAGGAGGAAGTGTGGCCCTCCTGGCACCTTGATTTCAGCACAGGCCACTGATTCTGGACCTTCAGACCTTTAGAATAGACATCCGTTGCTGGAAGCCACAGTTTGCAGGACTTTGCCACATGCTCACCTGCCTCCTGAGCTTCGCCCACTTCTGGATCCTAACTCCTCTGGCCTCCACTGTGGGAACATTATGTGAAAGAATATTGCAAAGCCCTCTGCTCAGCACTTGGTACCTAGCAGGTGCAAACATGAATCCCAGCACGGCCCACAGTGCATGCACCCACACACCCACAGCACCTCTTCATCTGGAAGCGCCCACAAATCTAACAACTCTATCCTCAAGGGCCCCCTGTCTTTTCACTAGAGAGTACAACATATGTACACGCTCTTATCTGGTCTTCCTGTTAGTCTGGACCTCTCCCCTGGGTAATGGGGTTTGGCTTATCTTTCACAACATAACAAGCGAAAATAAAATTCAGCGAACCCTTGCAAAGTCAGGCTAATGGGAGAATTAAGGCTATCAGCACTTGAGAAGCATCTTAAGCATGCACTAGTTACAAAGAAATCTGGGAAATAACTGCAAAGCGCCTGTCTGCACAGAGCCCAGCATAACACTTCAAGGAGGCAGTGGTGAGGGGGGACATCTTTGATTGTCAGGTAACATGCTTTGTAATTATCAGAGCTATTAGATAACCAGGGAGCCTCAAATGCACTTGGGGGTATATGCAATCTGTCCCTTTGGGTAAATGAGACCAAAGGGGAAATGGCCATTTGGTTATAGTGGGAATTCATTTTTATTACTAACAATAACAACAGCAAATATTCCCCGATTGCTTACTCTCTGCCAGGCACTTGCAAAGACTTTACATGCATGATCTCAGGTACATTTCACAATGACCTTGAGGAGGGACAATTATGACGGCAAGATAAGGAAGTGAAGCTCCAGAGGGAGAGTCAGGATCTAACTTGGTCGAGGGGACTCCAAAGCCCATGTGCTGACCATTACCCCATGCTCTCCGTTAGCCGCCAGCACCACAAGTCAGCAACAGGTGGCCCAGGACTGCACCCTCCTCAACCCCACACCACAGCTCTTAAAGAAGGTGACAAAAGTGTCCATCTGGTCCTGCCCTGGTTTGTGTTACCACAAATCATGAACAGGGATGGTTTGGAGTAGTGAAGATTTATTATGAAATGAGCCAGACAAACAGCTAAGGCACAAACCTTCTAACAAGGTGAGGAAATGTTGACGAGGGAATCCGCACCGGAAGGTCTTTTAGAAGAAGCAGCTGGGAATTTGTATGACTGATAGGCCCAAAAGGAAAGTATTCCTCAAAAAACAGCATCAATTTTCATTGAGCTCTTTTGTGAGAACAGAACACTATAAAATTGGGATCTGGAGTTGCTTTCCTCCCTCCCTCCCTCCCTCCTCTCTGCTTATTTCTCAACTAGCTTCACAAATGAGAAACAAAACAAAAATGTGAGTGGCTTACAAAAATACACAGAATATACCAGGGTTTTTAAGCAAGAAAATTTGTTGGTGATAAAAGAAGAGTAAACAATAAATAAATAAAACATAGTTGAGGTGGTTAGGATATAAGCAGCACGCCCAGAGGTCCCAGGCATCCACTAGCACTAGGCCAGTTACAGATTTGGCTGTAACTCCTATGCAGCAGTAGCAGAGGTAAATACAATTCCCCCCAACACCGTGTGACTTTGATAGGAAAGCAGCTCTTCCTCCTGCCGCAGGCATATTTGCTGCCTAAGCTAAAAAAAACGAGGACTGCTTCCTCCTGGACACAGGGGTTGGTCCAGCATAGCTCAGTCACGGTGTTCCTTGAACACCCAAATGGCCACCTGTTGGAGGCATCAGGAAGTACGCTGGCCGCTCTAGTCATCGGCCCTGCTCTGTAGAAACAGCGATGTAACTGGGCCCCAAGGACACCACTGGAGTTCCTGGGTCAAACCACACCTGAAACCTTTATCCATCCCACCCTTGGATAGCTTAGTCTTTATACTTAAGTTAGTGTGAATCTGCTTCCTGTTACAAATGAAAGTAAGAGTTGTGACCAGAGTATACTATTAACAGTGAAGGGGAAAAAAAAAAAGCAACCATAAACACAAATCATAGTTATCTAGCACAAGTACTAGAATTCCCTTAAGGAGATGTTTCTATTGTACTGCCTGCTGTCCCCTAAAAAAGGTCTACTGGTTTTCTGTAGTTCCTGATGTGTGAATGAGCCATTTGTGCTAAGAAAACATAATCTCACCTTCAGACCATAATGTTAAGTGAAATAAATCAGACTTAACATCACATGGTTAACTTAAATGTCACATGATTTCTCCTATGCAAGAAACCCAAAGAATAAATAAATTAAAGAGCAAAATAAAAGACAGACAATAGGAAACAGAGATAGATCTTTTGCAAATGGGAAGAAGACCAAGTAATGGGGGGGCATAAAAAAGAATTAAGATGTGTTATGTACATTTACCAGCTCCCCCCATGAGCGTAATCAATATGTACTGCAAACATGTACTCAAAAAAAAAAAAAAACTTAAAGCTTTTCAAACAAGGAAAACTGAAGAAAAGAAAAGAAGCTCTGAGTGGAAAAAAAAAAAAAAAGGAGAAAGAAAAAGAGAACATAATCCCCTTAGCATGGGATTCAGGATCCTTACGATCCAGGCTCTGCTGAGCTCTTTTACCCCTCCTCTCTCCCTCCTTGGCTTCAGGTCCTTGCTTTCCAGCCCAATAAAAAGAAGGAACCGACACTGCTCTGTGAGCACCTGGCCTCTTCCTTTAGTGCATGCTGCCCCCGAGCCTGGAAGATCCTTTCCTGCCTTTTCCTGCAAAACTTCTACCTGTCCCACAAACTTCAACTTAGCGGTCACCCTCTTCCCTGGTTGCTTAAGCAAGATACAACCTTTAAAAAGTATGATTCCACTTATACGAAATGTCCAGACGAGGCAAATATATAGATGGAGAGTAATAGGGGTTGCCCCGGGGCTGAGGGTTGTGGAGGGCACGTTGGGAGCAATGATTACAGCTACAGGTTTCTTTTGGAGGGTGATGAATGTGTTTCAGAATCTTACAGATGGTGACATGATTCTAAATACACAAAAAGCTACTGAGTCGTACACTTTAAATGTGTAGATTATATCTCAATAAAGGTATTACAAATAAAATAAATACAAGTGAAATTATACTGTTAACAAATAATAAAACAAGCCCCAAGGTGTTGTAAGTAGAGCCCCAGAAGTGGGCAGTGTGGTGACAGTTTTGCTCCACGCCACTCCCATATTTTGCACACTCCCTTGCAAGCGAGCAATGGAACCCTACCCCTGCGTGGGAGCAGGGCTCCACGTCACAGCACCGGTGTTCCATGACCCTCTGCTCCTTCCCTGCTGTGACCAGCGGGAACCATGCCAGGAGGCAGAGACTCACCGTGGGCAGTTGGCTCGACAGCAGGTGGCCATCCTGGGCCAGCATGTTGGACACCATGATGGCCGGGAGATCCATGGCTTGGTAGGGGTAGGCAGGGAGCAGACCGTTGGGTGCAAGGCCGTGGCACAGTGAGTGGTAGCTGGCTTCGTGGTCCCCCAGGTGCAAGAGGGGTGGCTCTGGGAGGTTGGGAGGTGTTATCGGGGGGATCTCATAGTCTTCGTTGCTCTCGCTCTGGCTGTTATAGGTCTAAAACATCAAAAGGGCATGTTGGTGGGGGTCAGCGTCTTAAAACTACAGAACATATTTAACAGCATCAGCAATAACCATAACAACCCATTAGAAAGGATGATCCTAAAAGGGTGTAGGTGGCCGCCTGATCAGACTCCTGATCCGCCCCCAACCAGATGCTCCCTCCCACTAGATGCTCTTTGCCCGGAGCCCGCCTCCTGAAGAGCAGGACTGGATCCTGCCCACCCTCTCCTCTCTGTTCTCCCACCAGATCCGGCCACCACAGCCCACTGGGATGCATCTTTCTAAAGCCACTCATTTTACAGATGGGGCCGCTGATCCGACGAGGAAATCAGTCTGTCCGATGCTAGCAGAAGAGCTGGGAAAGGAGCTGAAGCATCCTGACTCTGACTGTGCTCTCTCTGGACAGCTGAACAATTTTCTCTTCTGTGTTCCCAACAGTCAGTCCAACCAGAGCCTATCTTGGTGGCTCTGGCCTTGGTAAATGGTGCAAACATTCCTACAGAAGCACAAGCCGGAAACTAGGAGTCACACTGGACACTTCCAGTTCTTACATATTTATCTTTCTCCACCTCACTGAATGGAGCAGGTTCCTCCAGGACAATGGTGAACAGAAATGGTGAGAGTTGACGTGCTTGCTTTTATTCCCTCAATGGGAATCTCAGTATCTCACCATAAAGTGGGAATTCTTCAGTAGGTGGACAGAATTCCTTGTTTATCATGCTAAGGTTTTTTTAATTGTGCGTGGATTTTTAAATTTTATAAAAAATTTCCTCCTCACATCTACTGAAAGGTTCAAGTAGCCCCTCTTCTTAAATTCAGTTAATAAGGTAAGTAACTTCAGTTTTCTCACAAAACAACTTTGCAGTCCTGGAACAAACCCAATGTGGTCATGATGTATATTATTCTTTTTACACAGTGTTGGATTTTGCTTGGTGGTATTTTGTTTAGGACTTTGCATCAAGTGGGATTGGCCTCAACTTTCCTCTCTCCTACTGCCCTTTTAGGGTTTGGGCACCATGGTTATCTTAGGCTGGGGAGCTGGTCTTCCTTTTATAATCTCTGGAAGAGATAAGACCCAACAGAAGAGAGATGTGTGAGTTGGAAGATGAATCCACAATTCAACACAGAGAGACAAAGAGAACACAGAAAAGAGGGGCCACAAGCACAGAGGACAAGTGAAATGTGTAAGGGATGTGTTCAGCCAGCGCTACAAGGGAAAAGAGCGAGGGGATGGGCCAGAAAAATAATTAAAGAGATGATGGCTTGGAATATTCCAGAGTCGATGAAGGACACCAAAGGTATTGGTGGATATGAGAATAAGACTTTGTTTTTCTTTTTTCCCCAATACTAGGATTGAGCTGAGGTAACACTGAACTACACTCCCAGGCCTTTTATTATTTATTTTGAGACTAAGTCTCACTGGTTGTTCAGGCTGGCCTTGAGCTGGCAATGCTACTTCAGCCTCCCAAGTAGCTATAATAACAGGTGTGCCCCACCGTTCTTGGCTGGCATGTGTGTGTGGTGGTGGTGGGGAATCTTTAAAAAAAAACAAACCTTAGAGAAGGAAGAAAACCCTACACCACAATAGCATATAAAAATGACACCTAATATTTTGTATTGCTTGATAGTAGCCATGTCAAATTAGCTCTGCATGAAGTCAAACCCATGCCTGGCTCCAGCCGGCCCTTCCTGTCTGCTGGGCATGACATGAGCAGCGCAGATGGTGGTTTTGGGTACAGCCGTGATGAAAGTAGGGGGCATGTGCACCAGGAGGCCTGCTTGGTGCCTTGATGTTTCTCCTCAGGCACCCCATTTGAAGCTCGCAAGAGTTCCATGGGGAAGGCCCTCGGCTACCCTTTACAGCCATAGAAACAGGCCCAGAGAGGGCAAGGGCCTTGCCACCCCAATGCCTACCTCCCAGGCCTGAGCCCCTGGGGCCTCGCGCTCACTGGTTCCCTCAGTGGGGCGACTGTGGGATCACCTCACAGACAACAAACCTGCACTTACCATCACACTCAGCGGCCTTCTCTGTTCTCACACTGGAGCTTCTTGGGCCTGGTTCCGGGCTCTCCTTTCTTCCCTCCCCTTGCTGTCCCCCAGGTAGACCTTAACCAATCTCAGTTTTGATTCCTGTCCTCCTGCAACAGCTACACACTCAGCCTTGGTCCCTCACCAGCTCTGCAAGTGGGCGCCCCAACCTCCACTCAGTATCCGCACTGGATGACCAGAGTACCCCTTCCCCTGCCCGCACCTGGGGCTTCCCATCGTAGTAAGTGACGTTACCCTCCACCACCCTGAGATTCACCTTCTGTCGCCTCTCAGATCCAACACCTCCCAAATATCTTTACAACTTTGCTCTTTCTCCATCCCCACTGCCACGAATTAGCCCAGGCCACCCTCATCTCCTCCCTGGACAAGGACAACTTCTTACTGGTCTCCCACAGGCCTCTCTGGTCCCTCTCGTCCCTTCTTGCCAGTCTGTCTCCTCCACACAGCCAGAGTGGTCTTTATACAGAGAGTCCTCTCACTATGCCGCACCCACACCTAAAACACCAAGTCCCGAGGCCCATCTACCACCCTGTAAGTCCTCACATGACCTGAGTCACCTTGTAGCCACAGCCACTGTTCTTGCACCCAGGGCCTCACTGCTTTGCCAATCAAGTGCTTTCCTTTCAAGCTCATTGCTACTTATCCCTCCCTGATAGGCTGGATTAAATGTCTCCCCTGCATCTCACGGTGCACCCAAGGTGGCCCAGCATTTCTGCTTCAAAGTGCTCATCCAACTTGTAGTTAACTGGCCTAGGGTGCATTTGTTTAGTGTCTGTTGTGAGTTCTATTCCCTCTGCCTCAGTGCTTTGCTCAGAACCTGACACAAAGTCAGGGTACAAAGTCTGAGCTCAAAATAACAGGACACACCTGTCATTATAGCTACTTGGGAGGCTGAAGCAGGATTGCAAGTTCCAGGCCAGCCTGAACAACTAGTGAGACCTAGTCTCAAAATAAAATAATAAAAGGCCTGCGAGTGTATGCCCTCAGTTCCAGCATTCCCTCAGAATTCCAGTATTCCCTCAGTTCCAGGGATGGAACTGAATGGAATCCAGGGCCTGGGGGCAGATGCTGTGAACACACACATCACCTAGCTTCTGGGATGACCTGGGGGTGAGCATCATTGACTCGATTATGTAAGGAGCAGATGGATACGGTGAGAGAAACAAGGCTTGGGTTTGAATCCTGGCTCTCCCAGTCACCAGCTGCTTGTGACCGTGGGCATGCATAGTACTTGCCCTCCCGGTGCCTCAGTTTCCTCATCGATGAAGAGGATAATGACAGTATGCATCTACAGGGATACTGCTAAGAGTAAGTGAAATGAACACATGTAAACTGCTTAGGGCTGTACCCGGCACATAGTCAACTGCCCCGGTGTTAGGATTGCCATCCTTGTCCTTGCCTGGAGTTCCGGAGATGTTAAGGGTCCTCCCAGGGCACAGTCTGAGAGGACAGCAGCTCACTGGCTCTGCATCCCACTGGTGAGTGCTCCTAACTCACACACCGCAGTCTGTGCACTGTGGGGCGATCTGTCTTCTCCCTTGCTATCACTATGGCTTGGGGCTGACTGCCATTTAGGTGGGAATCAGCCTTGGGTATGGTGCTGCCCTAGAAAGCAGAGACCCCAGCAACTTTCCTCACCTCCAGGAAGCCGTCCCAATCCCCATACCACCCAAGAACCCCCTGCCAGCCCCCTCATGTGTACCCCCTGGGTTCATGACACCTGCAGTGGTTTTTGACTCTATTTACCCTTTGCTTGTGTCTCCCTCCTCCCCATCCCAGGTTCCATGAGGGCAGGAGGGAAGGTGTCTTGTCACCAGTGCCTAGAATAGCGCCTGGCACACAGCAAGTTCAGTCCAGTAAGTAAGGCCACAAAATAGGGAAACACCTCACCAAGGTGCTCCCCACCTGTCCTCCTACTAGACTATAAAGTATCTCAGCTACCTATTTTTCACGTCTGTCAAATGCCACCTTCTTCCTGTCCCCCCGCACCCAGAACAAGTGCTGGCACATGACAGGTGCCCCTGAATGCCAACTGACTGTATAAGTCCATCCGTTTCAGTCAAACCTCAAAACCTCAATCCACTGGAGCCAGCCCAATCAACCAGAAGCCTTTTGAAAAAGTGAGCATATGTTGTATCAAAATATTGAAATAACACAACCATGACAATTCATTTAAAGAGACAATTAACATACATAAAAACAAACATGCAAACATGTATATGCCTCTTCCGAGTGCAATCAAATCCTAATTACCTGAACATAAGTCAGCCTGTCCTGCAAAGGAGTCCCTACTGCGTGCTAGCCTAGCATCCAGTATTTTCATATACATTCCCTATTTAACTGTGTGTGTCTCCAAAGAAATGCCTACTATCTCCACCTTGCAAAAAAAAGGCAGCTAGAGTTCAGAGAGTGGAAGGCACCCCCAGGCTAGAGAGATTCAGATCCAGGACTTGGGATTCTGAATCTGACATCTACTCATGCTATGTTAGATGACTCTAAGATCTGTATTTCAGACTTCCTCTCAGCAAGAAACTGGCCACTCCGGGGCACCTCTTTGTTCTCTATCACTGGTGTCCTCATGAAAACACAGGGAGAGAAGCCAAGCTGTCAAGTTGTAAAGTGTGTCTTGATTTTCATGCACCAGTTCCACAAAAGGAAGAACAACGAGTGACCCAAAGGACCTGGGGCTTGCTGTTGGGTTCCAAGAGGGTTAAGCCTCTCCTGCAATCATGGGAGTTGAGATCATAAAGCACTGAAGGCAGCAACTGCTCCAGAAATGGGAGAAAAGGGTCCAAGGCAAGGCCTTAGGAAAGAAGGACTCGGAAGAGCATCGATAGACAAAAAGCCTATGACCGTGATGAGCCAACATTCTAGCACACTATCCAAATGAACTCATTCGCTTGCCACAATAAAATATAAAATAAATGAGAAGCTCACCAAAAACG